ATCTTTTTTACTATTCAAAATTAATACACAAAATTTGAAAATTTCAAAGGAATCGAAGAGAGTGCCGTAATACTACATATATTTATCTAAATTTTTATTGAATCAGCAAATTAGTAGTTAGTGACACAAGGAATTACTAATTATGTAAAAATTAATAATATTTAGGTAAAAGTGAATTACACATTACAGGTAACTTGTCAGAGAAAAAATTCTAATTACGTGAAAATTAGTATTTAGGCGAAAATGAATTAATTTTTTTTGCAATTTTCAATTAAACTCTGCAAAATATCAAGTTGTTTCTCATCGTTAGGTGCAGACGATAGCCTGCCTGACCTAAAGCGATTTTTTACGCTACACTTGCAGTATAATCTTGAAACGTCGTATTGTTTTCAAAATAGTGGACTTATTAAATTGACGATTCGAATACGTGTCATTAAATAATCGAACGACATCAGTGAACGATCGTTCATTATCACCCCATCCGCGCATCATTAGGATAGTGATTCTTTCACACTCCATAATTCGTTAGCTATTTTTAGTCAAACGTTTAATTTTTAATTTATTAATTTGCGAATTAAAAAGACAATCAGAAGCAGAGAGCGCTCATCATTCTGAACGTTATCACCCTACCTGCGTGATTATATGCGCGAGAAAAGAACACTGAATACCCTGGCGTTTTTGCGTTTTATATACCCTCTCGGAGTATTGATCCACTGGGTGATCCAAAAAATCCTTATCTTAATTCAATGTCACATTAAAGTTCGGTTTTTTTTTACGGTATTGTTTAGAACAGAAGCCATACAGTCATCTAGTTTTTGAATCTTGGACTGAAGAATTAAGTAACAGATAAAATATAAAAATTATAATTAAACTGTAAAGAAACATCATTGAGATATTATTGTTAACGTAAGAATCGTAACACATATTCCAGTGAATGCCGACAACATTACTGGTTTTGCGACTGTCGCAATCTCGCGGCACGTCGTGTAAGCGATTTATAAACGGCAGAAAAATGCAACAGAAGATAAGTGATCACGTCGCATGATATGATTCATAGATCCTTGGTGAAAGGAATCATTGAAGATTAGTTTGATTGATTAAAGAATTGATGAGTTGTGAGATAAGCAATTTTTTTAAACTTTATGAATAATTTAATTATTTCTATAGATTTATGTAACATATCTTGAGGCTTCTGGTCCCTGCTTAAGGACGTTTTCTCGTCCTTATAGTAGAGAAAACCGATTTTCTTAGGATTTTCTTGAAACTGTGAATATACGTTAATTTAGATGTGCTTTATACGTGGTATAAATTTCAGTACCTCTTCCGGTATAAAAAATAAAGATACTGAGCCTCAAAGTTTCAAAAAAAAAATTTAGAATTTATTTTTTTTTAGTTTTGGTATTTTTTCCTTGTAGAACTCGAGAGGAGCAACTTTGGTCCTCTTGGCCAACCTCGTATCTCTTACCGTTTGGCCTGGAAAACCTTTTCATTAGTAAAAGTTGAAACTTTGAGGCTCAGTATCTCTATTTTTTATACCGGAAGAGGTACTGAAATTTATACCACGCATAAAGCACACCTAAATTAACGTATATTCACAGTTTCAAGAAAATCCTAAGAAAATCGATTTTCTCTAGTATAAGGATGAGAGAACGTTCTTAATATAAACAGTGATAAAATGAAGGTAATGCAAAGCCTTTAGGCTTATGCGCAGGCGCATAAACGTGCATAGTTAAGCTTCGTATTATAATCATTTTACGACTGTTTATTAACTGTTAGAGGAAATGGATAGAACTCGGAGTATTTTTGAAGTGATCTGAAGTATTATTTTATGCAAATATCTTTTTATTTGGAAATACCATACAAAAAATTTCAACGTGTCATTTCTCGCTTCTGACGTCATTAAATAAGGACAGCATCAGCAGAGACCAGGAGCCTTAATTTCAAGAAAAGTAACAGAAAGTTAAATTAAGTCAATTTAAATAATAATAATAATAATCTCTAATATCTCTACATTTTGAATTGTTTCGTAATTTGTTGATTAATTATTTCTGTTACTTTTATATTTTGTTTTAATTTAATACAAAAAAATTTTATTTTAATTTAATGTTGAAGTTGCGTTTGTCTTCACAGTATTCTTGTCTTGATTAATCTATTTTTCCAATAAAACTGACGTGTAACACAATAGTATGATATGCCGCTTTAGATATGCGAAAAATATGTAAAATAGATTACATAAGTTAATGATGCGAAATTGTAGATCATATATATTTGAAAAATGAAAAGCTACGAATGTAAGGTGCTCGTTACACATCAAATGTTTTCATCATCAGAGTGCTGCGTGCTGTCTGTACTGCATCGGTAATCAAGAAGCTGAATACTTTGAGCAATGCCGTAACTAGATACATTCGGGACTCTGTATGTTAACGCTTAATGCATTCTCTCGAAAAGAATAAACCATCTAATATTTTCCAAGATTTCCAGATGTTTATCCAAACAATATAATATGTACAATTGTAGTGTATTACGTCTCAAGGGGAGACCGGGGCTAAACCGTCTGTTTTTTTTCGGTGCCGATTTTTAACAACAAAATAAATAATTGTAGTTAAATGTGGTATACCACTGTAAGAGTGAACCTTTAGCTACAAAATTTATATAGGAAATTTTTGTCTACGTTGCTTTGTTTAACCGGTATAGAGCAAAAACAAAAACGGTGAAAAAATTGAAATCTTAAAAATGCCGGGGTTAAACCATCTACCCCCCGGGATAAATCAGTTTCAGGTTTGATTGCCCATGAAATATTAGACATCTACACTGGATTCGTGTTCAGCATGCATTACTCTTCATAATCAGCATGCATTTATAATCACGTACCTCGAGATTTGGAGAGCAAATATTATTGCAGATATTACAAAATTTCCACACGCAGACAATTTTACTTTTCACTACAAAAACACGTTTGCCCTCGTAAAAATCATAACACGGCAGGGCACCTGCCGAAACTCCGTTGGTTACATGGGTACCATAAGCAGCGTTTACAATGTTAATATGCGAGTTTGCACAATATACAGGTTTCGAGATATTTGATTAGACGGATTTACCCCGTAGACGTTTTAGCCCCGGTCTTCCCTAACATATATTATTTGAATATTATTCAATCAAATAATATTTTAATGCTTGACACTATATCTTTGTGCCTTATTATTTATGACTCTAATCGAAGATCATGGATTAAATTGTCAGATGCTAAAATTAATATGGTAAATTTAATCTATCGTCATCTTTCATTGGAATCGTGAATAAAACACACAACGTAATGTCAGCGTTAACATACTTTTCGACTGAATAGTATACAAATAATACGAGTATATTACTTGTGACATTATAGAAATGTATAAGTAATAACAATTTGCTACAGTATTTCTGCCGACATAGAAATATGATGAATACGAGAAATTTCTGGCATCAGTTTTGTCACATTTTTTTTATGCTAACAGCTTTGCAAGATCTGTTGTACTTTTTGCTATTCAAGTTCATATAAACGCGCAAAGATCTTATTTATCAATTCTAATTATTTAGTTTTAAATATGTTTCTATTTTCAAACATACTTAATAAAGTTATAAATAGCTCAGACAGTTTTCTTAGAAATCTACACGCGCATTCAAGGATTAATGTGGAATTTTCAAAGCATAATTTGCGGTGCATGTGTGTGAATGTATGTATGTGTATTTTAATGAAGAGAAAAGAAACGATTTTCTTACAATTCATTCAACGCGCTTTATTGATGCACCGCGCACGTTGTATATTAAAATAAGTCGCGACGCGCTTTACAGCGAGTCGTTGAGCTGAGACAAAAAAGGCAATTTTACTGTGGATAGAAATTGTTCAATAAATACAGAAATATAACAATAATTTTTATTGCTATAGTGTCACAATCACGATGACACGTACGCCTTTCGATCTTCATCAAATAGCGAAAGTGCCCAGAAAATTAAAATGTAAATGAAATTTTGATTCCTGTCAACTTTAACGATTAATATCTCGCGTCGCGGGGCAGAGCGACACTTTTTTCTGCCAGATTCGGTCGTTTCGTGCAAAAACGCGTCGAATGAGCCTAAATTCATCGTTTTTTGTGCTGCTGTAGCTAAACTGAAGAATTACCGAAATTTTTTGCTTTACTTTGCTGTAATAAATTTGTTTACGTTTTTAACGCAAAATACTTATTTATGAGTTTCTATCTGCAAATCGATAAATGAGATTGATTTTTCTTTTATGGGAGAAACATTCGCTGAATTCATGCTCAAGACAACTCCATCTTTGTGAAAGAAGATTAGCCTTTAAAGGAAATCTACTGATAGCTATTTTCTTTTAGTTACCTAATACACGCCGTATTCGGGATTGACGTGTAATTTTCAACACAATTTTCATCTATTCTTATATACAAAACACAGTGTATAAGATACCTACATCACTACAGCATTTGTGTAGTCAATATTATACCATAATTAAGTTAATAATTTTAATTGTATTTTACGTGTACGTGTTATTTAAATATATCGTAAAAATTGCTTTAATTTTTTTCGTTAACATTCGTCCGCGTCTTGTATAAAATATACGCTAATTGATTATTTTGACACCAACTGTCATACTTAACTATCAAATTATTCCTCAATCTTCTACGAGGACATCGAAAAATAGTCTTCAGTTCTTTAGTAGTATTCTGAAATCTCAAATTATTCACGGTTTGTTGTTCCTTGCGGCGACAAACAAAGTGGCCTTGCCTCCGATTGACAGACGGCGGCGATCAAGGTCTCGGATCTTCCACTGCATCCGAGCCTTCTTTGCAGGTTCGACTCCACGATGGGTCATTGGATACTTCGATCTCGGACGGTGCAACACGTACTTCTGCTGCAAAACACCAAGTTTCACAGTTCGGGTGTAAACGCGGCGCCGTCAAAGCCAAGCGACTTCTGGCTCATTGTCCGCACCACCCCGAAGAACAATGTGGAAGTGGTGGCAGTTCTATTGCGTTTTGCTGCATATATCCGTGATGGCATCGGATAGAAAGACCGCTCTTGATACGCCCTTTAACATCATGCTCCTCCGTGTCTTTCGAAATTGGACTTTCGATGCTTTCGGTACGTATGTCAACCAGTAATACGTTATTCATACCATTGTACGAAAGAATTTATATTTTCCTCGCTAGTCGCACTGTTATTTTATTACAGTGCTGAAATTTTCCAATTCCTCTTTTGATATAAAATTAAAACCATAGGCATAGTCCATTTGACGTTGTCTCCACGTAAGAACACGGAAAAAAGGTTAGTTACTATAGCAAATCTAGTCGTAAAATATTAAATAACGTTTTTTGCAGCGAGAGCTATATTTTCCGTAAAAGCAAAAAATGTAATACGTTACGCGTTTCTTTCCATTTCATACTAAGAAGATTTTCAGATTTTATACAAATCCGCACATATGAAAAATGTTCAAATTTATTATAAATTTATTATAATATTATAATAAATCTTAGAAAGCAAAAAATCTCGTTTAAAAATACTTATGTATATGCAATAGACATGTATATTTTAGTAAGTCGCAGTTTAACTTGGTTACCCACGCATCTGATATGTGTACATTAAAATTTCGTGTGAATAATTTGATAGTTAATTAGAAATAAAGTATTATTACAGTTTAGAAAAACAATTTTCTCAAAGATATAATCGTCAGAAATTGCCAAACAGTCTTTTCATGCATTGTACACAAGTATACATTACACCAATAGGTATATTCTTATTTGCCTGTTACCGCCGATATAGTGAGTGTTGACATATTTAACTTTATGATAATTTGAGTGTACGAGTTGAATAAAATAAAAATGTCTTTTGAACTTGCATAATGATCATGCGCGTTAGCATCAATAAAGCCTTGAAAAATGTTCAAACAGACACTAATTGACACCTAGTTAATACTATTTGGCACTTGTGAGTTTCTACGAAGATACTGTGACATTTTCAGCGAAATATAGTAAGCGTATAATATAACTAATATATTATAAGCATAATAAATGAAATAAATGTAACAGGAAAACATACATACCAATTTTATTTTTCTCAGGCGATATTTTTTACAGATTCTTCAATCATTTTTCGATAATTCCTTAGCGAAAACGCTGAAAATTCATGAATTTTTGAATTACGAGCATGGAAGAAGAAGAAAATCTTCTCGCGAATTCAACTTCACTGTAAATCCAAGTGTATTATTTCTACACGCATAAACGTCTAAAAATGACACATTGACTTAAGCTCGTTTTACGTGTTTTGTTGCGTGTTAAATTAATACGTTTAATCGTATTAAATTAAAAGTTAATACGTTCAACCGTGTTAAACGATGTAATTTAAAATGACAAGAAATGTGTAAGAAAAGCTTCAGTTAAAATAACACACTTGATTTTGCAGTGTTTAGGGGAGAATGATATAAATTATAAAATTTTTTCATTCTTAATTAATTTTAGATGGACATTACTTTAATATGACTATCATTAAAAGATAATTGATATTAAACTAATTTATAAGGAGACTCCAAAATTGACAAAAAAATATCTAGTAAAAATTATGCACGAGAAGTAATTAAGATATTTAATATATTTTCACGATTTGCGTGTTAAAAATCGTATTTTTTTTCATATTTTACACACACATAATCGTGATTATTTTCCTTAATGTATAAAGCAATATAATCATGTAATTAATCGGTACACACCCTATTATTATTATTATTATTATTATTATTATTATTATTATTATTATTA